CTGGCATGGCGTGGGCGCTGGCATGGCATGGGCGCTGGCATGACGTGGGCGCTGGCATGGCATGGGCGCTGGCATGGTATGGCATGGGCGCTGGCATGGTATGGCATGGGCGCTGGCATGGCATGGTACGTGTCCGGAAGTGTTGGCCCGCATCGAGGTTTACTTGATGGCCCGTCAGACGCATCCTTTTTTGGGGATTCAATGAGGGCATTATCGTGCACAGGATCAAGTGAGGCGGGCCTGGAGTCGTTGGTCGCAGTGGTCAACCCGGATGGAAGCCGCCCACACATGCGCGACTGTGAGCCGTGGGTGTTAGAGTTGAGTGTTCCTGGCGAGCGAGCGTGTTCGGCGGTGGTCTTGGTCTCGCCTAACAAGTGCGAATGGGCACTGGGCTTAGGGTATTACGACGAGTTTGATTTACTGAAGGACGTGAGTAGGATGAGACTGTATGATAGTCCGATTCAGGGGGCGTCTTATTTACCGTGGCGGTTGCCGGAGGCTGCGTCGACCGTGTTGAAGATTGAATCGGAGACTGATTCGCCAGAGACTGATTCGCCAGAGACTGATTCGCCAGAGACTGATTCGCCAGAGACTGATTCGCCAGAGACTGATTCGCCAGAGACTGATTCGCCAGAGACGGAAGTTGGTGACCTGCTTATGAGGCGGAGTGTGAAAATGGGCTCGAGTAAATTTGTACAGTCTGCCATTGCGAGAGCGCTTGAGCGGCGGTTGGAGGAGACGCGGTGTCTAGAGGACGACGCGCACCAGGTGTGGCTGGAGGTATTCCGACATCCGCGGACGGCCCTGGAGGTGGTGGACACGGGAGCGGCGGCAGCCCAAGTAGTTTTCGGTCGTCGAGTGTCGAGGTCGGAGTTTGGTGACTTATTGCCGACTCTACCGGCGGACTGGCATGAGTGGGTGCGGGCGGGCGCGAGCGCTGTAGCTCGACAGTGGTTGTTGTCACGGGCCCCGTCGGCGGCTGCTCGGGTGCAACTCGGATCAGCAGCGCGGACACGACAGGCATGGCGGACACGACAGGCATGGCGTAAGCAAGTAAAAGACTTTCTGTGTACGTACCATCGGCAACTGATCGGTATCGGGTGCTTGACGGCAACGTTCGCAGGCCTGGCAGCCGCGATCAGACATATTGCAACAACACCACCGCCTTTGATGAGGTATGGTGACTTTAGAGGCCAGGAAGTATCCTGCGACTCGATAAAGGATCACGAGACGGAGAAAGAGGTCGTTTTGAACTGGTGGTTAAAGCCGGATCCTTGTGATGGCAGGAGTGGTATACTTAAGCTCACAAGCGGGCGCAACCGCCGTCGCCGGCTGAAGGATTGTTTCAGCTTCGGCGTGCCCTCTGCCTTCGACTACATTGCTGTAAATGAAGCCGCAGGCGACTACATCTGGGCGATAAACGAAAACCCGATAGCCATCTGTTTTACGGATGCGGACACACGGCGGGAACTCGCTCACCGAGCAGCGCGGGAACTGAACATCACCATCGTGCCGACCATTTCGTCGACAAACGTGACCGCCGTTTCGTCGACAAACGTGACCGCCGTTTCGTCGACAAACGTGACCGGCATTATCACCGACATGGAAACCGATGAGGCGGCTGCTATGGCGGTGCCCTTTGACCAGAATGCCATACACCAGGTACGCCTGATGCTGAAGAACAAGTACCCCGTCGATGACGCCGCCAGTACCATATGCGTGGGTAACGCTCAGTGCAACGCCACGCTCAGTGCCCTCGAAAACAACTTCTGCCATTTCGCGGAACTCAACTGCCATTACAACTCCGGACCCGATGACAAAGCTGCACCCCACCGTCTCAGCATCACCGGCTTCAAAACGACATGGAAAATACTTAATGAACACGTCCCTATCTTCCACCGACCCGACTATATCGTCGAAGACTGTGAAGCCATCTGTCACAAAGAGAACAGAACCGACACCTCGGCGGTCTTGTCCGACGCCACTCTCAACCCACAGGCCGTCCACGACCACTCCAGAGCCGGATGGTAGCCGGCTGGTACCAACATTTTACTTTTTCACCACCAATCTGACTACCTTGCATTCTACTGTTTGCGCGCTGCTATTCAACGTATGATCCGTGCTGGTGGCATCAGCCACCGTCTGGAAGGAGATGAAGGATGAGGTCATATCAAAAATGGGTTCAGTTGGGGTTCGAGTTCAGTTGGGGTTCGAGTTCAGTTGGGGTTCGAGTTCAGTTGGGGTTCGAGTTCAGTTGGGGTTCGAGTTCAGTTGGGGTTCGAACTTCGGGATGAGGCCGTTCGATCATGAACTTGGAGGAAAGTCTTGGTGGTCGCAAAACCGCCGGTCGGGGTTTGGTCTTGTCACTGTTACTGGTCCGATTACTCTTACTGTTCTGATCATTCCCTGTGTTAGGGCGCTGTTGTCTCACAGATGGTTGCGGGATGACAGATCCACCATATCCGGCGAAGGTGGAATAAGTATCGAGTAGTGCCGTAAGAGTGGGCTCGGGGAGTGATTCGACAAGTTCCTGGACGGTCTGTTTTGGGTCGAATACTTCGACCCAGTTTTTGACTCGTATTTTTTGGTCATCATCGAGGCCGCATCCTGCGGGGTTTCGCAACACAATTTCGTGTACCGCCTTCAGGAATTGCGCTGTGGTAGAGAAGAGCAGGTTTTCGAGATCGACTTTTTCCAACAACTTGGTAAAGGTTCTTGCGATCTTGGTGTCCTCATCATAACTCGTAACTAGCAATCCCGTTCGACACTGATCCCAAGACAACCCCGGAGACATCCACTGAGAGGGTACTGATGCACACATCACACCATCAGGCAGTGTACCTAGCACCTCCAAACTGCGCATCAAAGACGTCCGCTGTCGTGACCAACTTGACGCCGTCGCCTGCCAAGCAACCGACTGTGGCAAACGAGCTGCGTCGCAAACATCCTTCACAAATCCCACCCCGGTGTTCGTCATAACCGGCAATGCCACATGACTCAAACTCACCAACGTACTCTCACCATCAGACCCATCCTGTGAAACTTCCAACGACCTCATCACCAATTTTTTTACCGACCAGACCCTGGTTCGAAACGAGGCGAATGCCAGGGGGGCACTTGAACCGCCATAACCAACTGACGTCATGATGTTAGATCCTCCCCCCTTTTTTGTGACCATTCTCCAAACCTACTGACCCTGTTGACAACTCAGTGTTTGAGCTCCGACTGGTCCTGCCGTTAGCTTGAAGGACTTTGGGTTGAAGGACTTTGGGTTGAAGGACTTTGCCGAATGCGTCCCGGGAGACGAGCAGGGGGCGGACAAGGCTGCGACGGAGTGAGTGGGTGTAGAAGCGGCAGAGACAGGGCCGCAGTCGTTGGCGGGATGCCATGCGAGCTTTGAGTACGTGAAGGAAGTAAGTCCAGCCCCAGCTGTGCAGTAGAAGCGTGTTGTTCAGAATGGTTCTCAGGACCGGCGTTGTTCAGGATCCATGTTGGTGGTGAGTTCGGGGTTATTGAGTATAAGTTCGGAGCAGTAGGAGCCAAGATGGACGTGAGGAGGCTATCCAGTTGGCCGGCACGCACCTTATTTTTCGTGGTGTATACTGCAGTACATCGACTCATTAACCGCGATGTGAACGGCTCCGTAGTGCTCGGCGCTGGCTACAACACCCAAGAGAACTCCGAAGTGAATTGATGGGTTAAAAAAAATATTTTTTTTTTTTTTTGAAAAAAACCAATGCGAGGAACAGTGGCGTCTCAGTCAGCGGGGGCAGCCGCACTGCTTGCCGTGTTAATAACGCCGGACGGAAGAAACCTGACGCGGATAAACAATGACACGGGCATGGCGAAGGTGTTGGTGGGCGTGCGAGGTCACGACCAAGTATGTTTGTTGGTTGTGGCCTCGCGGGAGAAGCTGGAGGCCCTGGAAACGCTGCTGAAACAGAAGGTGGCGCTCGGCGCACAAATGCCGGCGAAGGCACCCCTTTGGTACCGTCCTAGTGAGTTTAAGTCGAAGTCTTCGGGGTCGAAGTTGAAGGCGGCGGATGAGCAGGAGGTCGCGGGCCTGATGGGAGACATGGACGGAGCGGTGGCTATCGATTTGGCGGCTGCTGAGGGAGTGGATTTGGAAGACTTGGATTTGACGAATTTTGCTGATAAAATTTTCGTGTCGTTGGAGGAGGGGGCGGCTGAGGGTTTTACGCATGGTGTGTTGTTCAAGAAGCATGTTGCATGGGCCGATTTACAAGAGAAGGAGTTCGGAATAGGTTGGCGCCGTCTGTACATATGTGACCGGGTCTTTCAGGACGCCTTCGGGAAGTCGGAGTCGGAGATATCGTGTGCGTGGCACCCGGAGGTGTCGGCGGAGACACCGTTGGAAGTATTTGATGTTCAACGGGTAGAGCCTGAAGAACTGTTGTATTTGTGGAAGCACACACGGATGGCGTGGCATTCATTGATAAACGATCTGATTGAACGCGAGCACCCGGGTGCGGTGAAGCGAATGACCCGTTGTCGTTATCGGGAAGGTTACGGATCGTCGTTTAACGATCGGTTGGATGACTTCATCGAGCGTCACCCGAGTGTTCGTAAGTGGGCTAAGGGTCTGACGGCCACAGCAGTCGCCGGGAGTGTGGCCACATTGATAGGCTGGTGGCGTTGGGGGGACGTACAGTCGTGGTTCTCCAGCGTGCCGTGGCCGTGGTCGGGGGAGACGGAGACGGAGACAACAATCACCACACTGTCCGAGTTCCAGCGGCCCGAGCCGACTGTCGAAGGCCATTGGTGGCAAATGTTACGACATACACCTGCGAATGATACAAAACTTTCGCTGTGGGACATGCAGCAAATGGCCGTGCCTTATGAAAATTGTACTGAACTCGGCTCTTTGGTGGTTGGTAGCAGGACCTCAATGCTCGACCGGATTCAGGACAGCTGCCAGGGACTTAACGGTTATCTGGTCTGCCACTTCTCCGGCGACCCATACTTGGCTCGGGAGAATGCTGGCAGCCATGTGTGCTATCCCTTTGGCCTCCTAGGGTTCGAACGGGACATTAAGAGAACCTTCCGTGGTGCGGGGCTCGTCCGTGGCTTGCGCGACTGTGAGACCTACTGTGGCACTGTTGGCGACGACGTCCAACTCACAGCTAAGGTGTTTCGGCGCAAACTCATGAGTGCTCTTAGTGATCCCCAAAATCACGACGATGAGCGAGAAACAGAGGCTCTCCGAGCCCTCATTACTCAACCCTTTGATCCTTTCATCTCTGATAATACCTACCTGCCCACACTCGAAAGCATCTCCCCATTGCGCCAACCCATCTGCAACTACGTCTTTGTCCACTGTGACAGCACCGACACAACCACTTTCTCCAGGCCACGCACTGTCACACAGATAATCGCACACAACTCTTCTGTCAGCGGAGCCATTAGACGCAACCCAGATTTTAACAATGATGGCCACGAAGTAAACCGGTGCATCAACATCTGCATCAACAACCTCCAGCCGTCTATTAACGAGGTGCACGGTCAAATGGGGCCACACTAAACTAGGCCGGAGAGGCTGTTATCGTACATGTTGTCGATGCTGACACACACATCTATTTTTTGAGACGTGTGTGCAAGTCGTGTGCAAGTCGCGCACACAACCCTCTCATCTGGGTCCAAACGGCCATGCCCCCACAACGACCAAGGCTCTTACGGAAACGACCAAGGCTCTTACGGAAAGGCTCTTCTGTGACAATTTTTCCAATAATTTTGATGCGGGGAGTATTGAATTTGAAATCGGAGAGTGGAGCGTTGATTACAGGAGTATGTGCGATGGTATTAGATGCGAATGGTAGTCTGTCTGATTTGAATGACTGTACATTTCATGAGGTGTTGGTGAAATTCCCGGTGAAGTGCGCTGGTGATAAGGATTTGAAGTGCAAGGATTTGAAGTGTAAGGATTTGAAGTGTAAGGAGTTTAAGTTGTTGTTAGCAATGGCGCCGGGTGCGTCTGTAGCAATGGCGCCGGGTGCGTCTGTAGTAGAGTATTCGGCGTTGACAAATAGGTTGCAGTTGTCTGCTCGTTCTAAGAGGAATCGTAAGGCGGATCCGTCGGCCTTGTATCAGTTTTCAAGATATTTAGCACATGTGATTGTCAATGATCAACCACATGGATTCGAACCCACGACCTCCCGTTTGGGTATCATATCCATGCTTGAAAGAGATATCGCCGGCGCTTTTGCACCTTCTGTAGCGGCCTTCACCGCCCAGCTCACACCCACTGAGGAAAGAACACTCTGCTCCGGATCCCGAACTTTTCAAATCTACGACCCTCCCACCCGCCGCGATAGCCGCTACTTCTGGACCAGTGAACACGCCTGGCGACAAAATCATCCGAAGGATCGCTTGACATGTCGCTACCCCACCCAACATGACCCAGTCCACGGAGCTGACCAAGGATCGGAGCAGACCGGAGCAAAGTAGACCAGAGTCGTCGCTCCCGTGTTGCCAGGGCGGAAGCAAGTTGGTTCGGACAAAAAGTTTTTACTGGTTTGGCTTTGGTGGGGGTATAGGTTGTCTAGAGGTGCATGTGTGACGGCATGAGGATAGGTGGTAACGGGTGGAGCTTAAGAGACGTATGTGTTTCAGCAGGTCTAACTGACCAGTATTAATGCCGGCAGCTGAGGCATGAATGATCCGGTCTTCTGAGTCATGAAAGACACACGAAACTTCGGTATAGTCGCACACCCTGTTGTCGTGGCAGTCTAAATTTTCACCATGTAAGATACAAAGTTGTGAGTCTACATTGTTAATTTTGGTGTCCACAAGTTTTTTTTTTACTTCAAATGTCTTGTTACTTTGTTGTGGTGATAAGGAGAGGTAAAGTCTGTCTATTGTAAGACGATCAATAGCAGCCGTAGTTAAGCATGTGATTGAGCATTCTAGGTCATCCTTGAAGGTGTATAAAGCTTCTTGGACAGCGGCATAGTCGTATTCGTATGGTTTTCCGAAATGGTAGACGGTACCTCGCACGCGAGTATCGAGACAGTTTAAAGTACCGGATCCACCATTGCATAACAGTGAACCCCGCCAGTTGGCCAGGTTACCAGCAACTGTTTCAAATTGCACCTTAGCAGAAGGTGTTTGTAGTGTGGTTAAAGCGGACTCTGTCAAGGGCTGGGTATAACCATCCAACATTAATCCTAAAGGGCCCGTAGGACCGGGGGGAACTTCGGCTGCCTGCAGTACGCGAGCTATAGCCCAATGGAAATACCATGCAGTCGCTGCTCCAAGAAAAGCCGAACCCAGAAAGTTCCATAGACCACCCCACCGGTTAGACTCCGCCAACACCTCCTCCGCAACCTCCTCCGCCAACACCTTCGCCTCCGCCAACACCTTCGCCTCCGCCAACACGGTTTCCGTCGTAATTAGTGGTGCTTGTTGTAACCAACATAAAGGTGCGATCATCTTGTATCGAGTTACATCCTCAATACCAACATCATGAACCAAGTAAGCTTCTAACTCTGTACCATGAGCACTCGTATCAGGTATGGTTGATTGAAAGCCGTGAAATAACTCGGCCTTCAATAATGCTAAGGTACGTTTTTTCCTTCGCTCCGATATCTCCTCACTCTCCCAACATAGCCCTTCCCATACCCTATCTACCAACTTCTTCACTGCTTGATAAGCTGCTGCTCCAACCTCATCCGAGAATTGGTAAAATCGTAACCCGTTACAACATTCTAACCAATCAAACGGAACAACAGTATCATGTGACGGCGTCAACCCGAACGCTCTACCATAATCATCAGGACAACCTGGCCTACGTAAACCAATCACCTTCACCGTACATCCACTCATTTCAGGGAATGTGCTGTCCGCACATAACAAGGCAGACAATACCACGCAATGCTTCCTTACGCACTTCACTAACCTCCCACTCTCCAACGTCCTACTCTCCAACGTCCTACTCTCCAACGTCCTCATTCACAAAAATACACACCAAAAATTCACATCCCCGTACCGTTTCACCGCCGACTTAATCACCGCCATCCGTCACCTCGGTGTCTAGCAATTGGAACAACGACGAGCGGTGGGAACAACTGTGAGCAGCAATCTTACACACTAGTGCGATCATGTCCGCGGAGTAGTAAAAAGTGCGGCAATCAACCGAGGCGTGCACACACCTTGATTCTCCCGTTCCTTGTAAAAATTGATTCTGCGTTGACCCTGACACAACGGCTGAGACGTTATTACTAGTTCGTCAGCCCGTTCGAGAGACAGTGCTGGCAACAGACATGATCACGAACTTTTTTGGCCCGGCCACGAACCCGTTCCCACATTTCCCTGTTTTTTTTTTAACCATGCGCTCAATTCTCGGACCACAGTCACGGCGTCTGGGATTTGTGAACCACTTGGCCTGGGTGGTGAACCCGGATGGAAGCGAGTCGGAGATAACGTCGGAAATGTGTGTGCGAGTGATAGGAGTGGGTGTGCGTCGTAATGATGCGTTGGTGGACAAGGTCTCCCTCGTCGCAATTGTACCTAAAGCGTCGCTGGGTGAGAAGCCGAAGTTCTGGAGAATCGGGGTGCCACAGTCCTGTCGCGAAGGTTACAAGCGACTGGAAGATGTTGTCGGGGTGTCCGAGTTGCGCCGTCCCGAGTACAGCGTCGTGAGCGAACACAAACGTAAGGGTTACAAGCGATCTGGACTCGGATGGGGGGGAAGACCTGGGTTTCGACGTGCTGCGAGATTGCGTACGGTTCCGAACGTTTATTCACAAGGGCAAGCTTGCCCGGGAGACGGAGGCTGCGTTGGCAGCGGGCGTGAAGAAGATGTTCCGAGCGGTGACTGTGCCGGACTGGGAGAGCTCAGAGAAGGCGGAGAGAATATGGGAAGACACCTTTGGAGATCCGCAGCCTGACCCGGAGCAGTGGGCGTGCGCAGACGTGGAGAACGAGCACTATGATGACGACAAACTGGAGGTCTGGTCTTGTCGTGAGTTGGTGGAAGGGGAGTGGGCCGTGTTGGCGCCTCGGCTGCCAGAGAGTTGGCGCGACGAAGCGGCGTCGTTGCTGCCCGGGTCATTGTTGAGACCGAAGCCGGTGTCTGAAGCGGAAGCCTATGGGTCGACGTTGCGGTCGCGACTGGAGGAAACGGGTTGGCTGGAGTCGGGTCCGGAACCGGAAAATGCGTCGCAGAACTGGGTTCGACGTGTGTGGTCACGGCCATGGGTTCGAAGAGGCGTGTATGCCACAGGCGCGAGTCTCGTGGGAGGAGGTCTCCTTTGGCACTACTTCACCAGAGGCAAGGAGCAAGTGTCATCCTTGATGGTTCCGACGGAAGTCGAAGAATCCAAGCACGGGCCCATGGTGTGGAAACAGTCGAAAGAGTTGGTTCCTACTAACGCGCTAAACAAGTCGGACCTACTACAACTTGAACGACCGCCGTCCGATTGCACTACGGGCGCGGTAATCGTAGGCGACAAGACGTCGACACGTAAGGTCATTAAAGACGTCTGTCACGGCGGTAGCGGTGGACTCCTTTGCATAGTGAGAAGGGAGACTACTCTTGGGTACCCAGTTGAGACATGCTACCGATTCGGACTGGATGTCGGTTACCCCATGCGCGTCGTCTGGGACGGGGTCACCCAGGCCCGGGTCGCCCTGAGTTGCCGCGCCCACTGCGACCCACCTGCAACCGAACTCGACCGCGTCGGTCACCAAATTTTCGGTGCTCTCCGGGGTACGACGAAATCCGACGGGTCACTCCCCGCTAACAAGTCGCTCCCTACCACCGTGCCGCACCCCACCAACGGGTCGCTAGCCATCAACGGGTCGCTCCCCACCGACAACGGTTCGGTGCTCGGCGGAACGTGGACCGAAGTCAACCCGGAGCCCGTGGGGCTCAGCGCGATGGTAATCGGGCCAGAGGCTGCAAGAGAGCTCGCAAATTACCCCCGCCGCTTCGACTGTTCAGGCGCCTGCTCTAACTGTACGCGTCAGAGCTTCGAGCACTTCAAGGAACACGACTGCACTTGTGCCTTCGGCTACATCGCCTGTCAAAGCTACGAACGCGGCATCACCTATCTCCATGAAGAAGAAATA